CTTGCGCCCGTGATGCAAGACGGCTCTCTCACGCATAATGCGATAATGTAAATAAAAAATGCCTCAAACTGGGCGATCATCTGCTCAACACCAGGTAAACACCGGGTTCCGCCCCTTGACCATCTCCAAACGTTCTACGATGACCTTTTTCCTGTTACCTTCCATATCTTCGTTTGCAGCGTATCCTAGATCGCCATCGTCGTCAAAGCCATAATCATCAAGGTCCCTCCTATGGGTCAAGGAGTGTCGCCTATGGTGTCGCGAGTCGCGCGTGTTTCGGCGAGGCGCATCGTAACTCATGCGCGACTGATGCGGAGGCCGGCCATTTGAGTGACTGTTCAAATTACGCGAACCCCAGTACACGTCGCTTACAGTCGCTGGTGATTCTGGGCCTTGGTCAGGACGTCGTACGTCGAGAGAGGATGAGCCGCGCGTGAGGTTGAAGCGATTCTCGTGTGCGGACTCGAGGGGTGGCGAGTTCATGAGGAGATCTTTCTGGGGCTTCTGTGGCGGCGTTGAGACAGCTGTGATATCCATTTCTTCATGTTCTTCCTCCACCCTTGGTTGTCTGCCTGGTGGCTGTTTCCTCCGCATCTCCGCGGACGGAGCTCTCAGCGGCACAGCGATGGGTATCTCGACAATGTCATCCCAGACACATACACGTGCCCTTCTCGTGAGCTCAAGCGGCCCAAGATCCGGTGTCTTCAGTGTCTCCACCACATTCCAAGCCTGTCCCTTCATGACCGCGATCTGTTTCGCATACATGCGCTCCTTGAAATCGGCATCTTGTGAGAAGCACTTTCGGAGTACCGATTGTGTGTCGCTCCACCATTGTTTCGAGGTGAGGAGGGGAAGGAAGTGGCGGCGGGTGGCCTCGGAGAAGGGCTGGCCGATGAGCGAGACGGGTAGGAAGAGCCAGCCAAAGGGATAGCTGCGCCACTGTAATCATGTTAGCATAGCGTTGGGGGAGTTTGAGCAGGTACTCACAGCATCAGGGTGCTTCCAGGGCCACGACAAACTGTTGTCAATGGCACCGATGGTCACTGTGGGTGTCGGCCCGCTCTGCATGGGTGTGTTCGACCGGCTAGTCGTGGTCATGGGTTCCCTTCGCCCGTAAGGGTCAGATTCCTCCATCGATTGCCTTGTGTAGGAGCTCGGTTGATGATCGTCGTCATCGTCGCGTTCCATCTTTGGTGGTTCTGCGACAATGAAGGCCTGCTGCGTCTTCTGATCAATCTTGATCATCCAGTTGTCCAGGCCTCTGTCGGTGTTCCGCATGATGTAGTCGAGGATGACCAGTTTCTCCAGTTGCTCCCTGAACGACTGTTGAATTGCGGGCGTCCAGAAGCCTCTCCGTTGATGCTGCGCGTCCCCAGTACCGGATTGTTCGTCCTCATCCTCGCCGTCTGACTGCGAGCCATTCGGCCTGCAGTCCTCAGCCCATCTCCGCTTCTTCTTCCGTGCCGCCCTGTCCGCATTGTGGGCTGTGTTATGCTGATCTGGCCACGGGTTCTCCTTGAGGAAGATGTTCGCGTCCTTGAAGCCCTTCAGGAACACCTGGAAACTCCCAAGCTTCTCAGGAAAGGGCTTCCTTTTCCTGTAGTATGCGCGCCGATCCCAAAAGTCGTAATGGAAAGATTTTGAGGATAGACCGACGACGTCGGTGTAGGGGACGAGGTTGGTGCGCAGCTGGGTATCGAGGACGTATGCGGCGGCTTCGGAGATGTAGGAGAGGTTGGGAATGAGGCAGGCGCGACCGAAGAAGAATGGAAACAGGTTGCGATGTATCCACTTGGTCCATTTGGGATTGCGCGACGCGTAAGGCTCTTCGTCTTTAGGCTTGAACACGCCCACCACCTTGCCCTGTGTGGTGCGCGCGAAGTAACTGCCTGAACTGCCCTGTGTAATCAACAAGGGATGTACATCCATCTCGATGGCCGTCCTGACGCTTTCCACGATATCGTCGAATTCGAGCTTCGTCAAGCGATCGGAGGGCACGTCGTAGTCGAATGTGAGCGACTCCGCCGTTGCCGGTCGCACCCAGTCTGGCGCCTGGAAGACTGAGTGATGGATCTCGAGCGTCTCCTCGTCTGCCGAGTCTTTCTGCTTCTTGATCTTGAACTTTTGCGCAATCTCGTCGGCCCACCGCTCAAATCGCGCATTGATGGCTTTGATGTCCACGCCGGAATTGGCACGTTGCCGTCGTCCTGACGGGCCCTTTTTGTGATTCGGTGAGCTTGCGCCTGAGCCATTCATGCGCATATTCGAGTTCCGCTGCGGTTGGATTGGTGCATATTGCGCGTTGGACAGGGGATTCTGGTGGTGGTCGCCCTCGAAGTCGCTGCCGGAGTCGTCTTCTTCTTCCTCGGCTTGGGCTATTCGGGCATAACCCGAAGTTGGCGGTCGTTTTGATTTTGGCATTGTAGTTTTGGGCGAGCGAAGGAATCGAGGTCGGTCGGAGTTTGCTGTTCGTGACTTGGTGCCTGCGATTATGGTGAAATGACGACCGCGGACACAGCTGCTGCAGGGGTCTGAGGCGCTAGTGTTCCGCTGTGGATCATCACATGCAAGACGCCCACACCGTGCATCTGATTCTAGATCGACCATATTTCTATGTGCTGTGGGGTATCGAAGTCTATCTGCAGTACGCTCAAAGAACTACTCAAGTATTCGCGGCATCGATCCATCATCTAAAAGCTATCGTCAAGATCCACTTGCCGTCTTACCACGCTCGGACTGTCCTCGTCCATACCACCTGTTGAGTCTGTGATATCGCCGCCAGCTGTCATGAGCAGGTCATCCACAATGCGCTTGCTAGCTTCTCGGGCTGTTCCGTATGTTAGCAATTGCTTGATATGTGAGGAGGGGAAATCTTACCAGGCGTCTGCATCAGCTTGCTCTGTGGAATATGGAATTGTATGGTCTTCGGAGGACTGAAGTCAACATCGTCGTCCTCTTCGTCGCTGTCATCGAAGATTGTGCCGCCAGTCCGGTGGATGCTCATGGGTTGTTTGCCTTTGGCAGGCGTCTGTATGCTTATACCAGGTGTCCGCGGCGTCTTCATGGGCGAAAAGATGTCGGCGCGTAGTTGTGGGGCTGGTGAAGAGGGAGGTGAAGAGTCGAAGTCTAGCAGCTTGGTAGCTGCGCTTCGTGGTGTAGGTGCTCCGCGCTGGCCGCCGGTGCGAGGAGTGAAAGCACCCGTCGGTTTGTACTTTCTCGGGCTGATAAGTGGTGTAGCTTGTACGCGGTATGTCTTGTCTAGAACGCGATGAAGCAGCGGGTCGTTGTTGACGTAGGACTGTTTCGTGGCTGTAGGCTGCATGAAGGGCGAGGACTCAAAGCCGCTCATATCTGGAAGGGCTTGCGACTTGCCAGGCGTGACAGGTTCCAGCTTCGGCGTCTTTGTGCCGCCAATGTTGGGTCTAAACTCGGATTTCAATGCTTCGTATGGCGAAGACATGCCAGCGAACTGAGGCTGCTCCTCATATTCGCTCTCTTCCTCATCCTCGTGGTGTTTGCCTCTTGTGGTGGAAGGTGGAGCCCGCGGAGTGCTGTGTCCGAGCGAGGGCGAGTCGAAACCGAGAGTCGATTCGGCGTCTTCTTGTGCGGACAAGGGTCGTGGTGGTGTTGTCGTCGTTCCAGTCACGGTATCCTCGTCCTCGACCGTCTCATCGTCGTACGTTTGTGACTGTTCAGTCTCGTCTTGTACAGCTGATTCGTCTTGCTCGGGGGCTTCGTAGCCCGAAAGTGAGACGTTGGCGCTGGCCTCGAAGAACTGTTTCCAGAACTTGGAGCCTTCCCAAACAGCTTCCGAGTGTTTTCCGTATTGTTCGACGATCGGCAGGATACCGGTTGTTACGATGCGATGCGCGCGGCTGAAGTTTTGGTCGATTTCTGCTTGGGTCAGTCGCGATGGTGGGGTGCTCGACGCTGTGTTTACCTTGCAGTGTGAGAGTGATGGACTGCTCTAGCTTCTCCAGTTCCTCTGTCAGCGACAGATTGCGCTGCGGCGCCATACTCATGCGCGACATGGTGTAGTTCGCGTCTAGCAATGGTAGGCGCGGTCGGTGCCTGACGCGCTTTTGTCGTGTTCGGGACGAAGACTCGCGATTCCTTGGCACCCCCGAAGTTCCCCGCACCTTCACCCAACACTAGCTCTCCCCATCACGCGTCTGTCGTTAACGATGCTTTTCTCAAACTCGACTCGTACCCGCCCAAGCAAGCGTGCGGAACCGTACCGCTCGACTCGTGTAATTGCTGCACTCGCACTAGACTGACAAGCTTGTCAACGTCATTCCCGGACCTCTTAAACCCGATGAGGATGCGTAGGTTTGCGCCATGCAACCGACATGCCCATGGTACGAGAGGGGTTATGCATACGCTACGCCTGTTCCGCATGCCCGGTTAGCCCTTGTGAGCTTCCCGGTACTGTCAATGAGGAGATCTGGGGTAATGTATATGCATATGTAGCCGCTGAGGTGCATGCTCGACTGCCTCGTCGTCTCCTTAGTTTACCTCTTCTTCTCTTCTTCGTATCGGGCTCTCGACTTGCTATCACACCAGAACAACAATCATCATGTCGTTTCGTCTACCAACAAGAGCAGTGTGTCAAGCAGTCCCCAGACTCGCAAGTATACCACGAGTGGCTTCTCGAGCACCACGATGGGCGCGTAGCTACGCAGTCACTTCAGACCAGAATAGAACAGCCATCGTAACGGGCTCTGCTCGCGGAATGTGAGACTCTTCTATTTCATGAATGTACTCAATAGGGTTTATTAACCTGTGACAGCGGCAAGGCCATTGCTCTCCGACTAGCTAATGACGGATACGATGTCTGCATCAACGACATTGAAGCTAACAAATCTGGGGCTGATGAGGTCGTGAAAGAGATACAGGGTCTAGGGCGAAAGTCTTTCGCATATACCGCGGACGTATCAAATTTGAGCGAGGTCCAAGGCCTGGTGAAAGCATCGGTTTCCGAACTAGGACCTTTGAACACCATGGTAGCGAATGCCGGCATCGCGCAAGTCAAGGCGCTTCTCGATCTTACCGAACAAGATCTCAAGCGCATGTTCGAAGTCAACGGTAGGCTTGTTTCAGTACTGCTTGGTGTGAATTTGCTGATAGTTCTACAGTATACGGCGTCTACAACTGCTACTCCACAGCCGCCAAGCAAATGATCTCGCAAGGCAACGGCGGCAAGATCCTAGGCGCAGCGTCAATCGTAGCGTTCAAGCCCTTTGCGCTTTTGTCTCACTACAGCGCCTCCAAATGGGCGGTCCGTGGCCTTACTCAAGCTTTCGCCATGGAAATGGCTGAACACAAGATCACTGTGAACGCCTATGCGCCCGGCATCGTCGGTACAGCCATGTGGGATCTCATTGACGAGAAGCTAGGCGAGAAGACCGGAGCGAAGAAGGGCGACACGATTAAGAAGTACACCGATGAACTGATTGCGCTGGGCCGAACTAGTGTACCAGAGGATGTGAGCAGTACTGTGAGCTTCCTGTGCAGTAAGGACAGCGACTATATGACGGGGCAGACAATTGTCATTGACGGTGGTATCATTTTCACTTGATTCATGTGTTAGTAGACAAAACCGCCTGGGCTATCTACGTACCTGTGCTCTGTTCTTTAGTTGGCGGCCAGTTGGTGCTGTAGCTATCCGCCAGGTCACCCATCACCGCCAGCGTTTCATCATCAGTCTGCTCTATATAACTCATCCCATTCTCAGTCGCATCATACCGTCTTTCACTATCCTCATAACCATCTTCACAAACATCAACTGACAAACTTCATCATGAGTTACTGGCAAGGCGGTGACTTCCATGCCTTGTCTGGTATAAGTTCTCAATACACACACCGGGGCTACTACGACTTTGACGATGCGGGCGGTCTGATCCCCAGGCGTTACGAAAGCAACCCCATTTTACTTGCCGCACGTATAAATCCAGTTTCCGGACTAAGTCATAACGACATGTGCGCTCCTCGTAGACTGGCTGTCACAGACAGAGAATTGCGAGACAATTGGCGTGCGAGTTTGTTAAATATTGATGCTCTTCTCGACGACGTAGCTCATTCTAATCAGCGTATCAGAAGGTCTGCAAGAGACGAGCTGATACGTCTGTTAGAGAACTTGGGAGATGCGATTGGTGATAATGAGTTGGTAGATTAATCGCCCAATCGGTAGTAGGATAGGACAATGGATAGTCTTCCCCGCGCAATGCCCTCGCATGCATATGTTTACCTATCTTTGAGGCTGTTCTAGCTCTTTCGCGATTTATCGTCAGATTTCTCAGTTTGCTCCTCTTCATTCAAGACGTGTCAATACGGAGCGTTTGGTACGTGGCAAACTTACTGATCTGGTCACCTATATCTATTCGTCAGAACCACTACAACGCACTACCATCGAACAGAAAGTGACCAAAGCAACACCGCCAGCAAATCATGTCCCCATCTCGGCTTCCCAATTGGTTAAGCAGACGTAACCGTACCCCACGCCATGAAGATTCATCGAATTCCGGTATGAACGACAACGATGAAGAGCGAGCGCGGCGGCTACGTAACCAACAAACACAGGAGAATCAGCAAGCGTTTGTAGTGTCTACCTCCGCTGTGTCACACGAGTTGCTTTGGATTTGGCATAGGAAAATTGAGAGGCTAGATCAACTAAGATGGCAGGTGGAATATTTTCCAAGGTCGCAAGCGGAAGCCATAATGCGAGAGCAAAACATGGCGGAGATGAAAGAGATCATCGCATTCATGAAGAGTGACATCTCTGGGAAGATTGAGGGTTCGTGGTTACGTGAATGGACATTGTGGCGACGCTGACGACTTGTCTCTGGTCATGGGACGGTGGCTTCTCATTCCTATCTGGTTTCTTTTGTTGGTATGTACTTCGCTGGCGTCTGATGAGCATTTCCTTAGCCCAATAGTGCGCTTGGTGGTACTTGCCAGACTGTTTCCATCATATTCGTTTCCGCTTGGTGACGTAGATGTTTAGCTAGTTATTCCAACACCTTTGTGCATATGGCCTATCCCATCAGTGCTTTTGTACAAGTACTTAGTCGACGTGCGTAATAGAGCCACTGTCAGCTTCAATATTTTCTCCAGCAATACAGCCGGGCATCTACATGCTTTCGAGTTGATCGTAACAGCCACGACCTCCGACTACGACCAAAACAACTTGAATCTTTACAAATTCTAGTCCCACTTCGACGGTGACGAAGGCGCCGTTATGGACGAAAAGAACGAGAGAGGTCGACCGTACGGAGAAACCAAAGAGGAAGAGGTCGAGCAAGACACCGAAGTGCAGGAACATAGCTCGTTTCCACCATCATCGGTACCCGAGGAAACTGAGGAAATTTGTTGCAGTGAGCTGCCTGCCGACGAACCCTTCCAGTATCCAGCGCTCGTGCATCGTACAGTCGATGACGTGATTATCACATCGAACGACTCCCATGATCAAGTGTTCTCGAGTTTCATAAACTACAGTTACGGTACCAGGTATCACCCTCAACTCCGGAGTGGGATAGGGACCGTTGCGTCCATCTTGAAAATGCTTTATATCGAACTCGATGGGCTTGAGGCGATCAACACGCTGCTGCAGGCTGAGTTAGATTTTGTACAGGAGTCTTTGGATATGGAGCGGCAAAGGAAGATGCGCCTCGAAGATCGCGACTTCTAGTTTCTAGACCTGTAGCAGCGAAGAACTGCTGAAGAATATCCAGCGTGGAAGGAGATCAGCTATAAGTGTTGTTGCCTTTGCGTTGTAACAATAAATCAGTGCCCGTACCTTTTTGGCGTGTGTATGGGGCTCTTGTTCTCAGGAGTGTGATCGAGATCATGAACTACATGACCTTTTGTGAAAGCTGTATGACGACTGAATAATACCCGTACAGCCATACACTCAGATCTTAGTCGATATGTGCGGAAAAATACTGTGCGTGATCTAGCAGTCGCTCATACATCGTCTGCTTGATTGTGCGTACGAGCCCTAACAAACAGCTTCTGCATGTTTGTAATAGCAATGCAGGACAGCGATCGGCCTGCTATCTCTTATCTATCGAACCGAATTGCCTGTCAAATGATCAGCTGTCGACTCAAACGCCATTGATGACGATGAAGCCTTTGAACATAAGTACAGCTCACCCGAGATACAGCCCTCATCCCGTTGACAGTTCATCACACAACTCATAATCGTCTTGCCTCGTGACTATCGAGCACAATGAGCCCTCGCAAGAATTCGAAGAAGGTTGAAGAGCAACACCCTCCAGCACCATTCGCGGAGGACGATACCGCTTCCCAAGGTGACGACGAGTTTGAAGGCCTCAGTCAAGAGTTCATTGACCAGTGTCTGGCGGCCTACCACGCGCTGGATAATCTGAATCTTAACGACGACGAAAATGAGAATGGAAACGATGACTCTTCTGAAGACTCACAGTCCATCCCAGACGGATACGAGCAAGAACGGCGCGGCGAGATTGAATTCCTGCGTTCGAACGGTAACGAGCTTCCATCGCATTTCCGGGTAAACTACCGTACTGTTAACCACCCTCAAAGTCCACCAGCTCCGCTTCAGCACAACGCGGTTCCTGTAGCTCCACCTCCAACTTTCAACTTTCGAGAGGCTGCAAACCCCGCTCCTATGCCTTTTGCAAATGTGCCGCAAGCTCTCCCTGTATGGCACTTTGATAGGGGGATTCAAGCAGCGCTCCGACGATATCGTCGCAAGCATCGTCCGCTTGACGGCTTCCCCGAAGAACGCCACCTAAGGGCCTCGGCACCAGGAAGATACAGTCGTGGTGTTGAAGGCATGCCCCGCGACTTGTTTCCTCATCGGTCTGTGCCGATCATGCGTCGTCCCAACGGAAGACAGAACGAACGAATGCCGTTTGCACCGCCACGCCCATTGGATAGGGACATGGCTCCTCCCATGGAACGCGACCTCCTGTTTGAAATGTGGGCCGATGCCTTTGTTGAGAGTAGAAGGATGGAGCAGGATATGGCAGCATTCAGGGAAAGACTCCAGCGACTGTACAAGTTCTGTTACAGGTCTTAGGGTTGAGGTGGACGCATCTGGCTCGTGACTTTCGTTTTTCCAAGAATCTCGGTAGATTTTCTGGTCGTCATCTCGTTGGCGTAGCCGTTCGCTCATTTGTTTGTCGCTTTCCGTTGACGACGCGTTGTCATCTACGTGTGTACTTACTGTAGCAACACAACACTCTTTATCTGTAGTCTGTTAGCAACATCATTACTAAACCCCCATTCAACGTTCATCGCGAGAAGTTCGCTACATAGCAGTCATGTCTTCCTACCAAAGATCCAGCGCATCGCCCTACTATCTTCCGCTTGATCCTCAACCCTACCAGCAGCGATATGCGCGAAGCCCATCTTCGCGAGCGCCGATGCACAATCCCTACGATTGGATGTATATGAGCGACATCCTTCACAACGACATGCGAGCGATGATGGAGGATATGCGGACAAGGAGAAAGCAGTGGCAAGAAGAGAGGGAGAAGATGCGCGAGACACTCCACGGAGGCGGCGCGGGCCAATGCAGCGAGAGTATGATGTGAGACGTCGCATAACAAGGTCGACAGTAATTGCCTGTCCGATGAAAAAGGCGTTTGGTTGGGAAGAATGCATGCGTTGCATACTTTGTTGTGCAATTTCGCGATGAATATAGGGCTACCACCAAGCGTTGCAGCGGTAGGATGAGATTCTTAAATACCTAGCCGAGTTTAGCATGGAATACATGTGAAAACCCGGGGCCAACTGCCGGTCAGATTTCGGTATCACAGATCTGAGTAAAATTAGCTACCCATTGAACGCTCGGTATCAACCAGTGAGGGCGTGTAATAGGAGCTTACATAACGGCATGTGTCGACATACCTTCATTTGATGTCCTTTATTACGTATAGGCTGCGGTGTCTTAGGAGTGGCAAGCCAGGTGTATGCTATGCGGTTGCAGATAGCCACGACATGCCTAGAAAGCGGTGATTGACGTATAAGTCATGAGCTCAGCAGTAAAGACAGCAATCGCCAAGACAATCGCGGAGTGCTGAATAGTATAGCACATCCGGGATGGCCGTACATTGGCAGTACAAGCTACGATGGTTCCACGCAGGTAGGAATGTCGGGGAATCGGCCCGTGGTAGCCAGCCGACTGAACAACGGTCAAACCAGGTGGCAAAAAATGGCTGTGAGGTAACTGGGAGTAACTTGGCGTTCGTTGGTGAGAGGCCGACATTGATGATTCGCAAAAGAACGATATGATGAATGAAGCGGCAACATGGAATATCGGCGATGCTCTGGTGGCATTTGAGATCACAAATAGCGGACAATTCCTCCGTATGCCAAACACCAGCCCCTCTTTGGTAGCATGCAGATCGCTTAGATTCTCATCGTGAAACCCTCGGCTACGTAAGACAGACGAACGGGGCGTACAATGGTTTTCGTTATGATACCCCACGTCTTGGGTAACGACCGATCGGATATCCCGATAACGTTTGCGCGCGTCAGTTTCGGGTTTGCTATATCTCTGCCAGCGATGAGAAAGGTCGCAGCCGATACAAGGAGTGGTGAAAACCGGCCACATTACGTCTTGTATTCAGCATATGACTTCGAGTCTTTCCAGGCGCTACACAAACCCTGATGCCTCACTGCACCTCGGTACAGTCGTCTGTCGAGGAGCGCGTTCGTTCTTGTGCGATCGACACGGTCGCGTTGTTTGCTCAACTTTGTTAGCGGTCGGCTAGACAAAAAGACGTGGCTGAGCTTTTGCCTCCGCCCAGAAGCTTGGGTGAATGAAGAATAGCTTCCGATGATAGACCGCTCCCGCAATGACAACACAATGCTCCTTATTGGTAGACCCTACGCAGTCTATCGTCGCCCTAGGTCAAGACTCACGATGCGAAACGTTTGAGTGGCACTGGTGACCCTGGAGCCAACTCAACTCCCGAATTGTGAAATCCTGCTTTTGGCACACGTGGACCATTCTGTCTGCCTCAGGCGTGCTCTGTCTATGGTATAAGATCAGCTCATGCTCATCCGTCATCTTCTCACGAAATTCCGCACATCATTGTACCCTTACTTGTCGCTTGGTCTTGCGACAGGCATCGTTTCTACCAGTCGCGATAGCATCGAAGCGATGTATGAAATTGCTCCTTTCAAACGGCATAAACGACATGGCATGCGGGGATACCAATGGCCAGCTTTCGATCTAGGAGGTTTTGGCGGCCATGGTGGTATGGGTGGTCTAGGAGGGTATCCAGTGTGGGATTCTGGCTTTGATACTCCATACTACGATGTGCCGGGCTCAGTCGAACAGGCGACGCGATCACATGTTGAGGCCCAAACCGAGTTTGAGAAGGCAAAGGAAAAGTACGAGGAAGCCAAGAAGAAGTTCGAGGAATGTGAGAAGAAAGGTAAGTAACCTCCACGTATCCACGTGAAGCATACGCTGACTTTGCTCCTGTGCCAGTGGAGAAAGCCGAGCAAATGCTGAACTTGGCGAAGCATCGTGCTGGAGGTTGGTGGAATTGATGCAGTCATTGTTGAGTGGCTGCTGGCAGCACAACGTGGGTGGGGGCGAGGAAAAGCCCGTTGGTATCCCAAGCTCCGGGGACAGACGACCCGTGTAACTTTGATTTCGCATTGTTCCGTTTGGTGGAGATCTTGTTTTAGCCTGTAAGGAGCTGCAAATGCATCGTCGGCCAGGAAGAGATGAATGCATGCGCCGTAAGCTAAGTGAACTTGAGCTAGAGGCAAATGAAGGCGCCCCAGCCCTACACGTATGTGTAATTACATCATACAGTGTGTTGTATAGAGACCGGTGGCCACACGATACTAGCTAAGGTATACGCTATGGCGTCTCCGTTTGGCGCGGCCGATCGTGGCGTGGGTGCTATCGTAGCAGGTATGTATTACGTTTGGACATCGCTTTCGTTTCGTTGTTCGTCGTTCGTCATCTGGCTGATACTCTGTGTTGGTCAAATCAAAATCTTGGACATATAATTGCTGCGTCTGGGCCTCCAGTATGAGTGCAACCTGGGCAGTTATCGCACCAAAGCGCCACGATACCTCTCAACATGACCGCTCATGCTGCATCAACTGCTCGCGAAGCTCAGGCTTCCAAGGCCACAGGTGTACCTCGTGCACGACTCGCTCACCAAGAAGTCGAGTATGATTCTGAAGCTGAAACTTTGGTCGGGAGTGAGTCTGATGATGACGGTGATGCTCGTCCAGCACCGGCCAACAATCAGCCTGCAGCTCGTCACGAAGCTGCCCGGCGGCTTCCAGCTAACGAGCCCTGCCCATCTTCTCAGGGCGACATGAACGCGGCGGCCCGCGCACAAAAGGCGAAAGAGATGGAGAACGCGGTCCAACGGTCCGAGTCGCTCATTGGAGGCGCTGGGCGGAAGGCATGATGAGGGAATCCCTGGCCAGCGTAGATTTGCGGTACGAGCGTGATCGAATGTCGATTGAGAACTTCACGCGACAAAAATTGCGGTTCGAAACTGGCAAGGATGAGAGCGAAAGATGGGGAGCTTCAGTGTGACCGCGAAGACGCGTGCGCGTCGAGTATCTCGCGCTAGTATGTTAGCAGCTTAGATCAACCACGCCGCTTTGTGGTTCTGCCCAGGTGCCGTCTATCCCCGCGCGATCGCCAGACATCTCCAACTTCTCTGTGCTTCACCATCATTTCAACGTGTTACGTCTCATATCGGTCCTTGTTCTATCATGGAGTCGGCTGCGAGGCCACCCCCTCCGCCTACTTTTAGATCTCGGGTGAAGCGGTATACGGAAGACACCCGGAACGTAGCAGCATGGCTTCGCCAGACCGCTGTGAAATGCGGATATGCCGCTAGCACTGCATCAACGAGCGTTAATTCTTCCAATGGAAAGAAAGGCGAATATCTCATCAAAACGTCTGAGTTTATTCCCATGGCTGAGGCCATCGCGGCATATAAACCTCAGCCTACCATTCCGCAAGATGTGAGTACTACTCCATGAACGGACTGTATGTGAAACAAACACTAACTTCGTACAATCATCTCTAGGTGATGGCGACAATTTCTCGAGCTATCAGATTACGCCGGAGAGAGACCCGATACGTAATGTCCGTTGGCGCCAAGAGTAGACGAAGCCAGCTCGAAGACAGCACACATACCCATTTCACAGAAAGGGTTCTAGGCAAGGTTCGAGACGTGCTGCGACCAACAAGCCAACCTTCTGCAACTGCACAGCAGACAGATACCATACCGTCACTCAGCGATAGGCTTGCTTCATTATCGACATCTGACACCGACGAAACAGACACTATTAGTGAAGAGCCTTTCAAGGACCTCACACCTGTACACATCGACTTCGACGACAAGGAAGTTGAGGACGAGTTCTGGCTGGCCATCGATGTTTTCCTAGAGGACTTGTTCTTCGTTCGTCAATATGTAAAGGACATATGGACTACATACAAGGAATCCGTGATGGAGAACAATGTTTGCTCGCTGTTGACGAATACAGCAATAGACGTCATTCGTTTAGCTGAGAAAGAGTTTGATCGGCTAGTCAAGCGGCCCAAACGATTTCCCGCAGACGTGTTCCCTGTCTGGACGTTGCCGTCGTTGCTGTTCTACAAGCGGACTCCTACGCTGGACACAAAGTTCACGCCTGAGCAATTTGCATCTCTGGACCTCATTAAGCTTCCTCGCTATGATTCTGAGGACCAGAGCGACTTTGCGTTGTTCTCAGTCATGTCAGGGCTCAAATGGTACCTTCGGTCTACTCGTAGAAGAAGAGAGTTTGACCCCAACCCTAGCAAGCTTGATCCTACCGTCTTCAAGCAACCCGGTGAGGATTGGCACCCGTATCTGCCAAGGGTTGTTGAGATGTGCCATCTGATGCAGTGGCAAGCCTGGGTAAAGTCGGTTGCGGAAGGTAAATATGCCACAATTGCCGAAGACGAGATCGCGAGAGGGGTCCGCTATGTGGTGGAACACAAACAGATTCCAATCTGGGTACAGTTCGCTGCCCAGACTTATATCGACATACAAGACGTGCTAGGCGATCGTTTGGATGCGCCACTCAAGGAGCTCCGGAATTCCGTGCAGGTGTACGATACGATCCTGGACCAATTTCTGCAGGTCAACTCCGAGGTCGACAGATACGAGTCTAATCCTAAATTTCGAGAAGGAGCTGTCAAGACCATGAATGTCATCAAGCTGAAGAAAGAGACGCTCGGGGCTTGGTTTACGAAGGACGTAGTGAGCCTGCCCTTGCCGTCGGTCCGACATCCTTATCTATCGAGACTCGAGCATGAGGATCATGTAGTACTACGTCGACATCCACTAGGTTGTGGAGTATTCCAGTACAACATGTTTTTGGATCTACATGAGTACGGTCTTCAGCTTGAAAAAGCTACGAACTGTATCCGACCCATGGTATATCTCTATGCAGCTACTCGGTTGCTGTGTAAGGATTCTCCGACATGGCCCGACATGGAACTGCTCATCTTCCGCCAGGATCCTAAGAGACTATTCTATGGCCACGAGAGACCAGCGAGCTATCATAGGACCTTCGAGTACTTCGTACGGGCATGTAACACGCCCATCACATCGCTGTACTTTACTGATCCTAGTATGTTGACCGACATTTTCATGGACCGCTTCGATCATCAAGTGAGGGACAGCGAAGAGATCGATTTGGTAGTCTCCAAGTGGGCGACACTGATGAGGAGCGAAGAAGGCATGCGGCGTCTACTTCGTCAAACAAACGTCAATCCATCGGAATACACTGCTGCCATGCGATCACTACAGGTGCAAGCCAAGAACAACAAACCAGATGAAATCCTCAGTCGGTTGAGCCCGTGTATAGAGGCAGATGCTATTGATCTGCACTTTGACTGGCTGACTTTGCATAACACGTGCGCTCGTATATGGACAAGGCTATACACCAAGCTCGCAAGTTCCAGACGCGCGGGCGTGCTATCATTTGACCTAAACCAGTTTCGCAACACTTACCACCCGCAGGCTAGTCTGGTCGCGCAGATACTTCTCGATGCCGTCCATGCATACAACACTGTCCAGAACCTGGAGCTTAGGGATAGCTCGTGTAGGTATGGAGCCGGCATTCGAGACGCCACTTCTGTCATACAGGAGATGATACAAAGGCCCATGAGTTCTTCGCCACATGGACAGATCATGACTGGCGATTGTTCTATTGCTAGGACAATGGACCAGGCATCTCAGCAAGGTGTATACTATCCAGGCATGTTCTACGAAAGGCTCGGACCGATGAACATCAATAAGCTGTATCGCGGCTGGGACAAGAAGATAATGCGGGGTCTTCATTCGACAAAATTAGTCAAACTTTCGGATGCGAAGTACAAAGCTTTTGTGGCGAGGAGAGAGGTTGAGCTTCGCAGGCAACACGAAAGGCTGATGGAGGAGTTTTTGCAAGCTATTGAAGTGGTGCGTGGGCAAGTTGACGGGGAGGAACTCTGGCAAGCTGAACAGATTAACCCTGAGCAAATTGAACGAATGTAGTCTTGGCAAGTTGAGCAGGAAGAACATGGGCAGAGTTCAAAGGCGCCGAAACCCGCCAAGAAGAAGCGGAAGAAAAAGAAAGGCAAAGGTATGACATTTTGATGGAAAATATATGGGATGGACGACGAGGACTACGATCTGTTTGATCACATCTATGGACTGTATGAAGAGCCTTGGTGTTCATAACTCGTACCCCTAGGGTATTCACTGCGCCTTTTGCTTATGGAAGCGCAGACGTAACGACAACGTATGCTCCAGGAGGTCATTTAGGTTCGCGTACAACTCAATCGAAACGTTTGTCTTCGTAAATGCCATAAGTTGATTAAGGCTTGGAGGCTTGCAAAGGAAGTTGCAGAAATGGTACGTATCGATGACGTCATTGTCATCACGTCTTGGCGAGGTCGGCGTTCCGCGTCGCGTCGCAGCGCGTCCTCTCAGCCTGCCACCTTATGCACACACTGCCATCTTCAAGCCTTGTTATCACTTATGCGCAAGCTCGTATCCAAGCTCGGACTCTGAATATCTCAGCCGACTTTAACCTCACGATTGATCCCCGTCGCGTCGCGTAGCCGTATTCGGCCGCCTTTCTCGAGAGAATACTATCACATTTTCCCAACATCCGGGCTCTACGCGTTCGACAGCCGCTGTTCAATATTCTACATCGCCCTTAGAAGATATCAATCGTCTCAAAATATTGGCTCGTAGGAGATTTGAGGCCTCGTTCGTGACCATGTAGCGCTCACCTTGCGTTGCCCATTGCGGATATCGATCTATCCATGGATCCTTCGGGTCTTCGTCATGTCAAGGCCGCAGCTGTACCATCATGTTGCGGGATCTTCAACATTTGACCATGCGATAGCGCCTCAACACAGCCAACCCACACTTCTAACTGTCTAGAAACGTTATGCCGATCTCTGACACCCGATATGCCGAAAGACACTCGGAGTTTTGAACGAACGCCGAAGTCGAGGCGTGCCATAACGAGTTCTCCTCTTTACCTAACCGATAGTTCAACCACCACTCATTCCTTCGGCGGTACTAGTGCCTCGATCTTGGCAGTCCTCGTTGCTCCCAATGACAGAAGCGGGGGACGGCTTGGCACATGCAAAGACACTATCTCGCAGCGATAAGATACACCACAGCATGTAACCCCACCTTTCCGCCAGGTGGGTTAACGACGCATCAAGGCTACGACTTCCTATACAGCAATAGTCTCATGCGTCGCGGATACGAAGCATTCATAATGTTACGGTCGGTTTCCCACAAGATTCGTATGTTTCAGCCTGATAAAACACTGGACAGGACCCTGAAGATATTGGATAGCAGCAAGACATGTGCTCCGCTGGTTACGAACAAGATGACAACAGATACCAGACATAGGGTCAAGTTCGAGACAGTGTACGAGGACATGGACTGTAAGACGCGGTGATGTCCGTGCTGCGCCCTTCCCCGGAAGTGGTCAGGCTGAGTGGAGACTGTTCCTTGCAGGCCCTTACTACCTCTGATTCCTCCTCTTATCGTTGTTCGAGCCTGAGATACCATCTTTCCTCGTTGTCATCGTCGCAAGTCACTAGAGTCTTATCTGGGACCGCAGCGCTCGCGACGGTGTATAAAGTGTAAGAGAAGTGCCGGGAAATGTCCACAGCATCCTTTGCTAGTACCGTTGATCAACATGCGTTGCTCAGCTCTGGTCTCGACCGTTCTTCTCGGTATAGCGAGCTCTTCCACCATCCCCTTCCTTGGATATGATAGAAGAGTAGCGCGAGACTACTTTGACAAACGCACCGACAATGGAACGGCATACTCTTGCTTGACTGAGGCTGCTACCACCACAGTAGCGCCAAAGACTAATCCATGGGCTCCTTTGACACCGGATGAGAATCTCGCCGTCTGGACAATACTCCATTCGCCATCCTCCGGTCTCAATCTTACTGATCCCACGAAAGCTGTGCTTACGGACAACTACGTGTACGTTATGCTCGAAGTGGTGTTTGAGGAGAAGCATACGCGGCTGACAGGTACCAGATTCTGGCTTGATGCATTGCACACCAATAAGACCGATGTCCTGAAGTACATGGACGAGGGTGCAGCAATGCCCGCCAAATACGCCCGAGCCATCATCTTCCAAGGTGGGAAAGCTGAGCCAGACTCCCAAGAGTACATGATCGGCCCACTTCCCGTATCTGCAGAAACCAAGATCGAGAAGCTGGATTACATCTACAACGGCGGCTCCGGTGGTTCCGTGCCATACAACGCCAGGTACTTCGATGGCCCAAGGACGACGGCAACCGAGCCGCTCATCACATCCATCATGTCGAACATCTCAGACATTACAGCAGCTCTCTTCCAAGGAGGTGTTTACTTCGGATCGGCCGACGAAAGAACCAATCTCTCCTCGACGACTGGCACGCCTATCTCTTTCGATGGATCTAGCGCTTTTCGTAACATCATGTTCCGCTTTCCAGGTCCAGCAACTTACATGACACCGCTAGACTTCTATCTCCTAATCGACTGTAGCGGCACTGATCCTTCTCTCTACTCACTGAAAGGATTCGTGACAAATGAAAAGTTTTACCCTACCATCGCAGACCTACGGAGTGCATTCGAGTCAGGCGATCTTGCTATGGAGTTCGACCAGACTCTCGACGCGAGTTGGGCGCTAGTCGACTACAAGCCTGAGCTAGGCGTGCGGGATCTGGAGGAGCGGCTCGCGCCAAGCACTCTGGAAATCGGAGGAAAGCGATACAAGCTTGACAAAGAGAACCAGTATGTTGAGTATATGGGTTGGTCATTTTACATGTCATTCTCGAGGACGCTTGGCATCATGTTCTATGACATCAAGTTCAAAGGTGAACGTATTCTTTACGAGTTGTCGATGCAAGAGGCAACTGCTCAATACGGTGAGTATTCCTTCTGTCTCTTACTGGACAAGAGCTGATTACTACAAGGTGGCAACCAACCGAAGGCTGCCAATACAGTATACCACGATACCTACTACCAGCTTGGTACTGAGATGGGCAGCTTGGTAGAAGGCTTCGATTGCCCATGGGGATCGACATTCTGGAACATCACTTACCCATCTTACAACAAAACGGCTGTCAACAAGAACGCAATTTGCATCTTCGAAACCGACATGAACTTCCCGCTCTCACGTCATCGCACGGGCGCATCCAACGAATACGGTTTCAGCAACCTCGGCAGCGTCAAAGGCGCTGGACTGATTGTTCGCGCGATTGCCACAGTTGGCAACTATGACTACATGTTTGACTACTCCTTTCACATGGACGGCTCGCTAGAAGTCATTGTACGAGCATCTGGGTATCTGCAATCTAGCTTCTACTATCCGGCGCAAGCAAAATTCGGACCGAGAATCCAACAAGCCACCCAAGGCTCACTTCACGATCACATTGTTACGTACAAGGCCGACTTCGACATCGTTGGTGCAGCCAACTCGCTCCAAGTTTCGGAGTTGGTAGTTGTGAACCAAACCCAACCGTGGTTCCCCGAGCTTGGCGAATTTGAACAGATGGAGATGAACATTACATACATGGCCGAAGAGCAGCAATTCAACTGGGCACCCAACAACCAGGCTATGTACGTCGTATTGAACCCGAACGCTACCAATGCCTGGGGTGAGAAACGCGGCTATCGTCTCGTACCCGGCCGTTCCGATATTCACCTCTCGACCCTCAACTCTCCATGGTCACGCAAGAACTCCGAATTCGCCAAATCACATCTAGCCGTTACGAAGCAGCACGACAACGAGCCATTTGCCAACAGCGTTCAGAACATCAATCTCCCCTTCACGCCGCAGCAGGACTTCAGCAAGTTCTTTGACGGCGAATCCATCGAAGGTGAAGATCTCGTCATTTGGTTCAACCTTGGCATGCATCACTACACTAGGAGCGAAGATGTACCTGTGACATTGTATACGGAGGCCTATTCCAGTATTGTATTCGCTCCGCAAAACTTCTTCGACAGGGCGCAGGATGGCGATCTACTTAATCGCAGGTGGATTGAGGTCGACGAGAGTGGAAACATGACATTCGAGACCTATGGTGTGGGACTAGATGTTTGCCCAGTCGTTTTGGACGAGCCTACAGCACTGCTGGGTGGTGGTGGTGAGCTGTAGCAAGCGACGCTCGGGCAAACCTAGACACACCAAAGTATTAACACTGTCAATTGACAACGCGTCGCGATCTGGTGACGGCCACCGCTTCACTCTGTCATACCTGGCATTCCATCACGCCAGCATTCTCTTCGTCGAAAGTGATTGTACGTAACTATGCATTACGTGAACACACAATGGCCAAGATCAGACTTGACGCCATAGAAGTGGTATATGTTTTTTTCTTCTCTTGCTACAACACCACACCTCTTTCGTCCATAATGCGCCTTCCGATTACCACCACTATCGCCGCTGCAGGCTTTCTCGTTGCCTCGCGGTCAGGTTCTTCAAACCGCGCAACAAACGCCGTGTCGTCGCCAGCCTCTACCGCGACTCTAGTGGCTCGCCAAGATGACACAAAGCCGCCACCCTTTGTTACGTCCATCACGTTCCTCACCTCGATAGCATTCGTAACTGCCGAGCCGTCTGGTACAGTTATCGTGCCATCGCGTAGTCCAGATACCTCCTCTGAGCCGCCACCACCTCCACCAGCCCCGTCAACTACCACGGAAACGCCGACAAGTACCGAACGACCGTCTACAACGACCAGCGCTACTACTACCACTTCTCCAACTTCTACTGAGACTAGAACAAGGTCCACAGAAATATCCGCAACATCCACCACCGCATCTCCAACCCAGACCCCTCACCCAGATGTCGACCCCGGCCCCTGGCTAAGCAGAGGTAAAATTACCGGAATAGTCGTGGGCTCCGTGTTCGGCTTCATCCTCCTCGGCTTAACAATCTACGCACTTTTCGCAGCATACCGCGGTATCAACGTCTGCGATTGTTTTGGTGGTTGTTTCGGCAAACGCGACGACGACGATGACGCAGAAAAGGGCCCATCTCGCTTACCTTCCCGGTCAGAGGACACGTACCCACATCCTGATGCTCTTCAGCCTGTAGGTGGCTATAGAGCTTATCGTCCTGCCCGGCCGGTGAGTTATGAGCCACAGCAGCAGGTTCCGCTTCCGCTGCAGGAGAGGACAGCAGGGAGACTGCAGAAGGGGTACCGCGGTGTTTGAGTAGATGGCTCTGGTTGATGATGGCTATAGAATAATTCAAAATGCGATAGCTTATCAACTACTGTTGTAGGCTCGACGGAAGTGACAAGAGAATCGTTTATTTCATCAACATCGAGCAAATTTTATAACCCGTCAAATCTCCCACGACCAGCAAGAAAGATACATGTTCCCCTCAACCACGCGCTAATTCTCCGCCATCTTCACAGTCTGCCTCGAGAAACTGTCCACCCTTGGCACGTTCGGCCTACTGCGGCGCTTCGTCTCCATCATGCGCTGGCGAATCTCTTCCGAAAGCCAACCTCGACACGCCGAGATGGAGGGTTGAACAACGCGTTCCTCAAACGTCGCGGCGTCTTGTACAACAAGCACCATGTAGTTGTTGGCCCACTGGTGCACTCCTGGGATAAGCTTGCCGCGTATCCTGTTGAGCTGCTCCTCAGCATACGAAACCGTCCGCTTCTTCATCTCCGCAATTCCCTCGTCCAGGTTTTGTTGGTTCTTCCTGCCTTCTTTCCAGCTCTCGACAGCTGGTCGCAGTTCCGGGTATCCGATTGCCTTCCAGATACCCTTCGAAAAGTCTGGGCAGCCCAATAGTCTTTGCTCGAGCTCGTAGAGTAGGCGTACCTCTTCGATGAGGCCTTCGTCGATCATTTCGTCTACCCGTTTGTCCAGCCTAGGTTTCAGGTGCGACAGCTTGGAATCGAGAAAGATGACTGACAGATCGCACTGCTGGACGAAGGGGTGCGAGAGGAGTGGCTCGGTCAACGAGATCGATCCACCGACCAGAAGAGGGGTCTTGCCGTCGTCGTGTATTTGCTGGATGCTTGAGATAGCGTTGTCGACAAAGGTGGTTGGTTCCTGGTCGGGCTGCAGATAGTCTATCAGGTGGTGCTTGACGCCATCCATTTCCTTCGTAGTAGGCTGCGCCGTTATGATTCCTCCACACTGATAGATCTGAAGACTGTCCACGGAGATGACCTCGCCATTGATGGCTTTGGCAAGTGCGATACCAAGCTTGGTCTTTCCAACGCCGGTCGGACCGATGATCGCAATGATGGATTTGTGTCCCATTGTGTAATGATTTGGAGGAAGAGAGGAATGATGAGATGTGTGTCGTAGACTTCGGAAAAGGAGAAGATGTGGTAGTTGTGAGTGAGTTAGAAAGACAGTGCGCCACAGGATGTCTTTATGAACAGAGGAGTGGCTGCTCACAAAGTCCAGGCTTCCTTCGTCGACCAACTTTCTCCACAATACACTTTAGCTATGACATGGTCGATTCCCTGAAACCTCATTCTTCCTGCTCGCCCATAAGCCGGTGTGACAAGCCGGCGCAAAATGATGTAACAGATCCGGCCAGGAAGATGCATCCGCAAAGGATTGTAGACTCATGTAACCTACAACATTTCCGGTGGCTCGTATTCAAGGCAAAGTTAAAACTCATGTCGCTTGAGGGTAGTTAGACTGCTAAGTCTTAGCGACATCTCAACGAAGAAGAAGATATTGGAGAGTGCGCCATTAACTCCGACTAAGACGCCCAGGACTTCGTTTGGGCTCGTCATTGAAGTTGTACCTAGGTACTAGATTCTACGTCACTTACGGTGCCGAGAAGACACAAGGCATGTGAAACCGTCTTAGCGAATGCGAAGAGTGTTGTGTGCCTAAGTACCCGGACTAAACAGATAATAACCCGAGTGGTCCAAGTGTCGGACACAGCACTAGTCCTTTGATTGGCCGAAACCTAGGCTACCTGGGTACCGGGCCATTATTCTTTTGGCCCGAGTACATACATAGTAACACTCCACCTCGTGGCTCTGAAACAAGCTACAAGCTACTGTTAGCGAGATGTAGTTTAGGCTGAACGTGAAAGCTTACAACAACCGTATGGCATAACAGGCTTCGTGATAGTCTGCTGAGTCAACTCCGATGTATAAATCGCGGTGATGAGCTCCAATAGACGATCTAACAACTCGATCATCTGAAGGCTCGGCCACTACTCCCGTTATTCTACGCAGAACTTCGCAAGCTGAATATCGTCAACCATGGGCTCAAAGCAAGTACACACAAAGCCACCCAATGGAACGAGTTCGAAACCATTCACATTGTGTGTCTTCTGTGGTACGTCCCCACGAGTACCCAGGAGTGAATGTAACTGATGAATGACAGGGTCTAGTGAGGGGAAAGATCCCAGGTTTCGCGATGCTGCCAAAGCGCTAGCGGATATCATGGCGAAGAGATCGTGGTCGTTGGTGTACGGAGGCGGGACTATGGGGTTGATGGGCGTACTCGCTGGAAACGTAGTGGCATCGCAAGGATCCGACACGGTACATGGAATCATTCCACGTGCTCTTCTACTGGGCGGGCCGCCGCCCGCGCCGGAGCGATTCGGGCGTACAACGGTGGTGGACAACATGCACGAGCGTAAGCGGATGATGGCTGAGGAGGCTGATGCCTTTGTGGCGCTGCCTGGTGGTTTCGGGATGCTCGAGGAGTTACTCGAGATGACGACATGGAGCCAGCTAGGCATTCACGCGAAGCCGGTGGTTGTACTCAACGCATCCGGCTTCTTTGACGGTGTGTTTGAGTGGATGCAAACTGCGATCAAGTCTGGCTTCATCCCTGACGTTCAAGGGGGCTTGATTGGGCAGGCTCGTACAGTTGAGGAGCTGGAGGCGTTAGTTAGTGCTAGAGAGCCCGTTGAGGGACGATACACGTTCCTTAGATGGACAGGAAAGAAGGATGAGGAGACCGCAGATGGTGAAGACTTGGGGAGCCGAAATGATCTGGTCTCTCCGTAAGCGTTCAATCAACACATGTAGCTTAAAACATATTCACCATCTTACTCTGTCTTCTTGAATAACCTTGACCAATATAGGTAGTGCGAGATAAATGTATTGCCCATTGTTCGGATCTTACGAATTAGGCATGCAGAGGCACTGCTAGTCATCGCTTCGCCTCGCTCAAGCCATGAAACTGATACAACGAAATCCTTTTGTCAACGTGCAACTTTACCTCTCAAGCCACGCCTACTCACCATACTCAAATCACTCCTTGCTCTTCTCCTCACCCAAATCAACCTCCACAAAGTCCAGCTTCCCATCCTCCTTCCTCACACCACTATATTGCACAAGCAGTTCCGAAGATGCACGCGCACTACGACTATCACCTAGATCTCCACCTTGGTGGCCGTCGCCCACATACGGTGAGGGGTCGTTGTCTTGGAGTTCGATCTTACCTTCAGATTCGATATCCTTGCTTTGCTTAGCCGCACGAGATTTGCGCCATTTGAGAATAAAGAAGAAAACTGTGTAGATTACGACTATACTCGTCGCTGCACCAGCGACAGCAAGACCGATGATAAGGGGACGGTGGTCGGGGATGAGGATTGGCGAGGACGGTGAGCTACGCCTATTCTTGGCGTTCCGGGGCCAGATGAAGCCAAATAGGGTTGACATGGTCGCTGTGGTAGTGGACTTCGCGACGCGATGGTGGTACGTATGCAGTGTTAGTGAGGATGGTATAAAGAAGACAATACTGTGTGGAGCGCTTTAATTTCCCTGTCCGGCTGACGAAATGACGAGAGACTGAGAAGCTTCGTGGTAGTTTCGGATGAAGTAGTTGTAGTGTTGTGTACTTGGATAGTGATGTCCGTGAATAATGTCGTGAATCGGGTTCCTCGACATACCGTACTTTATACGCAGTATGACCATTGTGTAAGTACATTACGAAGACGCTCGTTGCTTCTTAGTTGCACCTCTGAGTACACCGCAGCCTTGCGCAATGCGACGTCTTGTGCACTAACGTGTTGTGGAATATGATGCAGCGTGTATCTCCAAGGCGCGAAGCAGCTAGTGCTGCAGCCTGCAAAAGACGTAGTACTCGATGCGGCAAAGGTCCAAGGAAAAGCAATTCCGCAGATCGTCAGCCTCAAGCTTTCTTGTTTGAGCCAAATTCAATCGAGCAACCAGTCGTCATTGCATCGCCCTTGGAGCGAAGTGGTGTGCGTTCCGCATCTCCAGGAACTTTCTCCGTGTTTGTTCTCGTTGCTAAGATCAACCAGGTGTCCCCGGGGGCGCGCCGAAAAACATAACGGGAGGCATGTGTCGCGATGCAGATCACCCGGCCAAATGCATGTCGGGGATCATTCCGTGGCTGTGCCGCAAGCCAGGCGGCCAGCCACTGTGTCAGTTGCACGGCGCGTTGCAGGTACATTTCCCACCTGTTAATCTCTCGAATGAGCCGGTGCATCTCGATCGTGCTGTCAGCCTTCTAATGCGCGCGATGAAGGATTGTGTACGACCAATTCGTCGCATCTCCTGTCTGATCAACGGTGAGAAGGTGATCTGGAAGGGGTTGAATAAAGAATGCGGAGTGCATACGGGACGCCACTAACCGCAGCCGCATCATTGGGTTTCGGAAAACGCCACCGAATTGAACGCGCGGCTTTACGTCATAAGCGAGAACCTCACATCATGCAACTCAGCTGCGATGCTGAACTCTAACAATAGAACACGATCGAATCAGCAGCCCCAAAAAACACGTAGTCAGGAAAACACAGTCGTTGACGATGTTCATCGATAGAAGAAATTTCACAATAAGTAGCAGAGCATGGAAAAGACGGCGCAACGGGAAAGAAGCGTTGGGGTATTCTGAATGTTTCATTGAAATGACTTATTATAAGTATGCCGATTGGTAAATCCCAAGTGTCGCTGTGAATCATTCTGGTCCCACACCTGTCTCACGAGAGACGAAGCGATGTCGGCTCATGGCAGATGTCGCTAACCGATCGAAGAAACTGTCAAAGGAGACGTTTTGTGACGATGTTGGAAGGGAGCGGTTGAGTGTCGACCCGCTTACAAGAGACCGGCAAGAGCAAGGAGACCACCAGCAACGGCGCCCATGGCGGGGACGTTGACGGAGTCGGCAGCACCGGTGCCGGTGGCGCTCTCAGCAGCGCTGGCGGCAGAGCTGGCAGCAGATCCGAGCGACTTGGTGGCAGAGGAGGCCTCGCTGGCGGCGGAGCCAGTAAGGCTTGCGGCGTCAGAGGCGATGCTGCTGATGGCAGAGTCGGCAGCGCTCTGGATGGAGGAGGCGCCGGAGGCAGCGGCAGAGCCACCCGCGCTGGTGATGGAGGCAGCGGCGGAAGTGATCTCAGAACCGATGGATGAGGCGGCGGAGGCGATGTCAGAAGGGACGCCGCCTACAGCAGAGGTGATCTGGGAGATGATGGAGTCGACCTGGGCGTTGGCAACGCCGGCGGCGATGACAGCGGTGGCGATGGTGGAGAAACGCATGTTGATGGTTTGGGTGGGTGAGTTGGTTAGGTGAGTGGGTAAAGAGTTGAGTGTAGTTGGTTTGATGTGGAGATTGTTTGAGCTGTAGATGGAGAGTAGAAGGCAGGGCGAGAGGAGAGCTCTTATACCAGGTGAGTGCATAAGAACTAGCGCGCTTGCATGTCGCCATAGCCCCAGCGGCCAGCAACAAACACAGCGGCCACCGCCCTTGCTCGCTTGCGCCTCCTCCACATTTTTTTAGCCACGTAATGCACGCAATTAACTGGACAGTGAGGCAAGTGACGCCACATGGGAGCGCACTGTCCTTGTCCTTGCCCAGATGCGGCAAGCCATCACAGCCCATCCCAGTCATCGGCAGCCGTTCCTGCTTTTTCGAGTGAAGCTTGATCCGGGGCCGCCTCTGGGTGTTTGAGCCTATGACGTCTGTTGACGAACATTTGTCCGCCGTGTAACGAGATTAACTGGGGCGAGAGGCGTTGCATCCAAGCCACAGCCTGCGACGCCCCGTCTCATCGACAGCGGAGCCATGCATGTCTCTGCAGCTGCCCATGGGACGATTCGGGCTATGGCAAGGCGTGCCAGGTGCTATTTCCAGCGTTACAGTGATCAATTCACTCTGAAACAAGTCAGCACTTGTCGTCTGGCCAAGCTTTCTTACTGCTACAGCGACGCGAGTGCGGCGTTGAGCTTGATGACCCTGAAATGCAGGTGCTCACCGGCGTGCGACCAGCGACCGCTATAGCAACCAGCACCACGCTTCCTCTAGCTCGACATCTGCGTACCGCGACGCTGCTGCCAACTCCCATCTCACTGCAATTGCAACAAGGTAAGTGTATACGCGGGTCCACCTGCTGTCAAGGCAACCAGCCACGCGTTGTTTGGGGGCCCGGAGTTCGGTGCATGTTCTGTGTACCAAGAAGATGATGAGACGTGCATGTCGTCATTCCCGGCTTCGTCGTGGACGCCGAGGCAAGCAGTTTCTGAGACGCAAACCGCTCCACCGAAACCGGGCGAACGTCAATAAGAAGACCGAGCTCGAAACCATGACGGAGAGCAATCTTGGGTGAATTGTGGCTCGACAGACGTTAGCTGGCGACGTTGACCAAGATTGGTGGTGTACCTGGCAGCCTTACTCGGGTCCCCTGTCGCGGATGCCGCCAAGCCCGATTTTGCCGTGATTCTAGCCCACAGGATTCTCTCCCGTGCCATGCCATTCTGCACCAACATCTTGATCTCTGATCGTCCTCTCCTATTCCCGACGCGCGTTCTTGATGTCACTCTTGTTCCTTCATCGTGATGCAAGTCTCAGTCATGTCCCGAGTCGACTCACTCTGCAATTTCCCATCATATGGTGACATCTCTGCCGCCCTTTGCATCATGACTAAAAGCACTTTCTTGGCCCCCACGAGGCTTGCTTCTTCAAATCAGAAATGCCTTAGCAGGTTGCATGCCACGAGATTGTGCATCCAGGGAACACGTGGAGCTCCCTTGGATGGAGATGCTCTACTGCTACCTAGGTATACGGGGCACATGTTAATGCACATACACTTGCTCTATTCCTACAGGCCCGGTTGATCTGAAGTGTTGCAGCCGCTAAGCTGACAGCTGCCGCAGTATTCGTGAGAATGCTAGGCCGACCTACAGGTGTCATCCCATCGTCAATGTAGACGTGCTGCCCAGAGTGCCGGCGAATGGGAGGGCTATGAGCCTTTCGGCTTAGCGCACGGCGTTCCGATTCGACGGCTTTACCACGGGAGCAATATTTCCGGCTGCCGGCTGGACTTCACCTATGTGATCACACCACCACACCACGCGCACCATACTACGTCCGTTTCAGTCATTTCTCAATCACTCTGGTCTTCCCATCAAGGTGTTCAGCTATAGAATCGCTACATTGCTGTTTCTCCAGGCCTGGAGTGCCTGACAGTGCAGATGGCGTCCTAATAGCCGCTGAGGCTGGACACCAACAGCACGTGTGACAGCGCATCACAATGACATCGAATGGGGATTGCGCATTTTGTTTCAAGCGCCCTTGGGAACAGGAGAGGCTCACATCTCGTCTTTGATGGGTGCTCTTCTCGCTCGTTCCTACCCTTTTCGTCTAATCGCGACCGCATTAGGACGCCTGCACGACGCCTCTTAATTGCATCTCTAGAGCACTTTCGACCCCATCTGCTTTCTTTGGATGTGTGCAGCTACAGTGATGGACCGAAACGACATCTTCCGGAACCATTGCTGAGCTCTGAGCAAATGCGATAGTTCGTATGCGCGAACCCTCGACTACGTTTGCTGTATATCATCTTCAGGATCACAGGTTCAGGTGGTTTCTACGAAGTCACATTCGACGTTCACATGTGGGCTACGAAGGCTGTGATCATCTAAGATCCACTAGGAGGCGCTTAGTTGCATATGACAAGAATTTAGTGCTCAGCCTTCCGAATGGGGACGTGAGAGAACCGTAACCGCTGATTGTCTGCAAACGCTGGGTGAGGCTATCAGGTAACTCTTTCAATGACTCCATTCTGTTTAACTTTACTGCGACTGCCAGAATGAGTACAAACACCGCAGGCATCACTATCACAGGAGTAATTACGAGCACAGCCGTCTACACACCTTCACGAAGCCTTGACAACGCTCAAACCCCTTCAACATCATCGGCAATGTACCATTCGGAGAACGACCGCTCACTCTCTACACCGGCTGCCATCGGAATCGGCATCGCTATCGGGATCGTCTGCACCGTACTTGTCCTTATTACAGTACTGTTACTACACCGCGCATGGAGACTTCGCCGTTCACCACCAGTAAAGCAGTACAGGCAAGCCAAGTTATGGAAGGGTTTCGAGCCGGTCACTCCGAGCACCGCGAGGACTACGTTCGTTGGAACCAAGATGACCAACATATACTTGACGGAGCTACCAACACCGGTCACACCTGCCTTCCTTATGAGCCCACCGTTGCGGGGAGAGGAATTAGACGTGGAAGAGAGAAATCGACGCTATAGCGAGCCTGCATAGTCATGCTGTATACGGCGGATGGCTTGTATGCGGTTTCCAATCAAGCTGACGCAATATATGAGACAGGGCTATAGCCATGTTGAGAGTCTACGCACGAACTTCATCGCGTCTCTCAGTGATCGCGCCCAGCAGATCCCCAACTCTGCTCACGACCACGAACAAGAACAACCTACGCCTTCTACTCGTCGCTGCCTGTAAATGTATAGGATCTTGCAACTGGCTCGTTCAGATCCTGCGCAATCTTCCCGGCTTCGGTGTCGCCCACTCCCGTCGCGTCTCTCAGATCGTTCCCACGCTCTTTCCCCTCAGCGCAGGCACTCTGGACTTCCTCCAACGCCTTGTCGGCGGGGCGCGCAAGGTGGTCATTGAAATGTTTACGCATATCAAAAAGTACAGCACCAGCAGCATCGCTGCCTTGCTGCAGGCTCGCATGTGTAGTTTAGACATGATGATCTCGCGAAACCTCCCCCGCCGCGACCGTCGCCAGCCACGTCAGAAGAAAGCACAGCGGGCTCCTCGTGCAAGTCTGGCGGGAGTTCCAGTCGAGATATTCAGCATGATCCTACGCCACCTTGCGTGCTGCGACACTCCCTCACTCCGGCAGACGTGCAACAAGGAGCTCGTGGGCAGATGCAAAGACAGCTTCTACAACATTGTCGATCCGACCACCGCTTCCCTCCAGGTGAGTCCCAGATGAGTCTCAAATGAGGGAGACACAAGCACATGCTGACTCCGTTTCCGTAGCTTGACGCCGACTTTCCTGCGCGCGCAGTGTCACTTGCGAAGTTTGAGCGGTGGAGCAATCACATCACTACACTACGCCTCAAGGTCCCGAGAACCGCTTTCTTCTACCAGCTACACCAAGGCGCCGCAGCAGCAGCCGCAGCCGCAGCCGATGGCGATACCTTCTCAGCAATGTCGGATACGAAAGAGTTCAAGTCTGCGCTCGCGCTGTTGACGACCCTTCCTCGATGCAAAGCTGTTCTGATCCAGCACGACACCCCAAGCAGTGGCTGGCTCCTATGCGACTACCAATCCAGCCGACGGAAGGTCCGTGACAAGACCATGGCTGTCCTGGGCGATGTGTTGCGCGAGAACTTGGAGGTATGTTGTATTCGCTGTCTGTGCAAGACACGCACTAACTCTGCGTAGCATAGTCTTGTTGGCTTCATGCTTTCTTCGCATTCGGAATGGTACGACGAGTACCGCCTATGCTACTTCGAAGAGCGAGAGAAGGAGGCAGAGGAAGGAGGTCCACGCGCAGAGGCAGAGGAAGAACGCCGACGCACAGAGATGGGGGAAGAACGCCGCGGCCATGAAGAGACCGAAGATGCGTACGCAGGCCAGTCCCGAGACATGGTTCGTGATGAGTGTCGCTCACGTGGGCTTCCTCGGCCTATCCCAAAGAAGAAGGCGGACATTGTGGCGGCTCTGCAGAAGGACGATTTGAGGAGGTTGGAGTAGATGGTCATGCCCTACTAGGACACGCTGCTCATGGCGTTGACGACCTACAACCACTTCTATGCTACACTCGCTCTGATCCGGGTACATGATCTGTTCCATGTACATATTACGGCTTTCCGGACACTGGTATGGTCTGACGCGCGCGGTGGTGATGGTGAGCCACTCCTTCCTCTTCTACGAAGCGAAGTAAACAGTCAGCCAAACGCGGTAAGCTTCGCCTCTCGCACACTGGGATTTCAGATCTGACCTGGGTAGCTCGCTCAATCCTTTCAGTTTGCTTGCAACCAGTACTGCCGCCATCGAAACGCCGCGGCCGCCCTCAGAACTCTGCCGCCATCAGCATCCCTCCCTCCGCCATCAGAACCTCCTCCCCCACCCCACCATCACAATGGCATTCGCAGGGAAACGCAACGCGCAAGAGCTCAAGAAGCTGGAAAAGACTGATGTCAAGATATCAGAGGCGAGACTCTTCAACGCATACGGTAAGTTCTGGCTGCGCGAAGTGCATGAGATATGTATACCAACTTCATACTGCAGCAACCACGCGGGACGTGGTTGATGACATCGAGGAGCTTTTACCTCGCCTGTCGCCGAACCATCCCGAGATTGCCCGCTTCGTGGCTGACGCTCGAGGTCGCCTGGCATGGCTGGCGAATAACGCAGACGGCGAACTATGTCGCATCGCATTTTCGCTACCATGTCAATCTAGGAGAAACACTGAACAGCCTGGAGCCTACATCGACTTTGGGTCACACACTTTGCATATTTTCATCTTGATGTAGTCTCCAGACCTGTTCAATTTTTTTCAGATGCTGAACAACCTAGGCATCCAAATCGAGTATCCGTTGGAGTTCATGCCACAGGTTCTCTCGGACTATTGGTACGCGAAGACGAGAAAATTAATATCGATGTCTGCGGCGAGAGTGGTCCTCGTGTCCGGTAGATTTCCACAAGCACTGTACGACCAGTATCTCAAGCTGAACAACGTCAACGCGACCGAGGTCAAACTTGGACATGGCATAGGACGGATAGGGTGGCTGGAACGTGATGTTCACGGGAAGCTAAGCCGCATCGTCCTCTACATCAACCACCCGGAGTGCTTCAAGAGGTATCGAGCCCACGTTACCACGAAGGCTCAACATCGGCAAGCCCTCCGAGAACGTCTTGTAGACCTGACAATGGTCTACTTTGGGCGGCCGGTCTCTCTGCCCGCCTTCCTGTCCACGACGCAGACATGGCACCAACGTTCGACTGGACAGCTCGTCCCGCTGCGCGTATTTACCGACTTCCTCGAAGGCGATAGCGACGAGACAGAGCTGAGGACAGCACTGACGTGGCCACGAACTCCATCTGGCTTTGAGTGCCTCCGCGACTGGCTTCAAGGTCGGTCGTTTACCGTTGCAGAGATTTTAAAGATCGCTCTAGTCTACAAGGTGCACACCATAGCCGGTAAGGACTGTCGGAATTTTTTCCAGAGCGCCGAGATGGTTGCGCTGTCTGGGCCAAGGGCAGCTACGTTTGAAAAGGCCATGGAGCATATGTGGGACAACACCGCGCTGATCGAAGAAGACGACGACGACGGAGAAGAGGAACCTATAAGGAAGAGGACCAGGGTGACTGGCGTCAAGGCCGGCCTCTCCAAGGAAGGGTACGACCGCCAGACCTACAAGGTGTTCCAGAGGAAGTTCGCCAACGGTGACGACATGGCCAAACAGAGGCTAGATAAGAAACGCCAGACAAGTCGTGATTGGCACGCCGCACAGAAGGCGAAGGTCGATGCTATGGATGGGAAGACACCAGTTGACAATCCGTTCGACGAGAAGAAGGGGCCGAGTGAGTCTCTAGAGTCAGGGCGCCGGTCGAGAGCCCTCCGCGATCAGAAGATCGCAGCAGGGGATCCTAAGGCTATCGCGTCCAAGAAGCGACAGAGGGAGCAGCAGGCCAAGTGGACTCAGGCCCAGAAGGACAAGGTCAAGGCGTTTGACTTGCAGCATGCTGAGAATCAGAAGAAAGCGGAGGACGAGAAGAATCAGGAGAAGAACTGACGGACATGTTGAGTCGCAGGATTTAGCAGGTATATGTATGCGCGCCTCTGGTAAATATGACGGAAATAAAATCACCCTGGAGGTGTTCGCAGTGCTACACATGTGTAGGCTCTCAGCATAAAGGTCAATGTATACCTCAACCTAGACTATGTAATATAACCTGTCAAGACATGCTCCATTGTAGACGTCTAAGATAACATGAATTCCTGTTTTCTTTTTGTCGCACTTCAGGTAACTCTGTTAGAAGAGACCTACACGAAGCGGTTGGCTGTCGCGCAACACCGTGAACAAAAAGGGCTGGCGATCCGAGAAGAGCTCGTAGATGTCAATACTAAAATATCTCGTCGCAAGTGCAGTTTGTGTGCTCTCGATCCGACTTCAGTCCAGTGCTGGGATAATATCAGTCTTGCTTGTACTGAGCATCAGAAGCACGTGCAATCTGTATTATGACGGAGGCCATGCTTCGCGCTTTGCAGCAAACAAGAGCCAAATAAGAGAGCAGGTACCACATCAACGAATGCAGAGAAATAATAACAAATTATGCAGTAACAAGCCTGGTGTATGCACCTTTCTATGCAGCGCGAGTAGATGCCCCAAAGTACCGAAGACTGATATGGCTGAAGTTTGCAAGTAAAAAGAAAAACCCTAAAAATCTTCGATACGCCCAACTCATCTGCTTCTTACTACGCATTACAGCAACCAGATGGCAAAAAGAAAGGCTGTCTATTGGTTCCGATGCCGGGAATCGAACCCGGCTCTTCTCGGTTCTCTATGAAAGCGAGATATCCTAGCCGATGGACTACATCGGATGATGTTGATGAAAGATGGAGAATTTTGAAAAATAAAGTTTCATGGAAAAAAATCGGCAGGGGCGCGGCGTTGAGCAAAACGATGCTTTTAGGCGGGGTGACGCCAGTTAAACCAAGCCCCAGTTGCTCGCCTATCATTAGCACACTTGTGGTAGTCTGCTAGCATTGAAAATGCTTGGTCAACCAACATCAGAAACAGGAACGAAATCGTCAGTCTTCACCAACACACTTGAAATTACAGGCACATGAAGCATATGCACGCGAAGAGAATAGTAGTAAAGTGTGCAACACATATCATTCAGTCAAAGAAGCAATGAGCCAAAGCGACTCAAAGCAAGTAGGTACAAGAAGTGAAGAACACCAAAGTGTTACTTTTCCATCATCCATCCTCCAAGATTTTACCATCACGTTTCCTCCCATTGTTACCGCACCACGAACTTAGACGCGGAAAGCGCGGGGGTGGCGGCGAACCTTCTGGCTGGAAGAGCCAGCCTTCTCCTCGAGCCAGGAGATGAAGGTGTCGAGGGTGAACTCCTTGTCGAGGCTGGCGCTGCCGGTCTGGGCAGGGGCGGGAGCAGAGGCAGCGGGAGTAGAGACAGCGGCGACAGCGGCCGAGCTGGTGGCAGCAGGGGCGGCAGAGGCAGACGAGGCAGGAGCAGAGGCGGCGGGAGCAGAGGCAGAAGGCTTGGGCGCGGAAGCGTTGCCAGAGCCGGAGCTGGCACCGTCGAACAGAGCGGGACCAGGCATCTCGTAGCTGGACATGTCGCCGCCGTAGACGCTGACCTTGATGCCAGGGTCAGTGGCAGTGTAGAGCTTGTTAGCCGGAGTACCCTTGGGGGTAGCGGTACCGGAGCCGGTAACCTCGATGTTGATGCACTTGGGGTAGTTCTGAGCACCGTTCTCCTGGGCAGCGGAGTGGAGAGCAATGATCTCGTGACGGAGGACGTATTGACCAGGGGCAATGCTGTCGGGGACGGTCACGGTCCAGGTGTTGTTGTTGGCGATGAGCTTGTCAGAAGCCCACTTGCCGTCCTCGAAGCCAGCGGCATCGATCTTGAAGAACTCAAGGTCGGTAGACTTGGCCTTGGTGGCGTCGTCGACCTTGGCGAGGTAGTCGATGACGGGACCGACGTGGGACTCGGGCCAGGTGGTCCACGAGATGTCGAGCTTGCCACCAGCGGCAACAGTAGCAACCTTTGCGCCAGCAGTGGCGTCCTTGTGGCAAGCAATCTTGGTGGCATCGTCGTACATGGAGGGGTCGACGAAACCGTTGTCAAGGCACTCTGGGCAGGACCACTCAATGACCTCGGGGGAGGGGGTCTGGTACTGGAAAGACGGGTCGTACGCAGTGAAGTCCTTGCCGTCAACCTTGATGGCAGAAAGGTGACCGTGGGCGCTGACGGAGGCAGCAAAGGCGCCAAGGATGGCAGCGGCTTGAATCTTGGAAGGCATTGTAGTGTTGGTTGTTGGAAAGTCTGGTTTGGACGAAAGGGTTGGTGTTCAAAAAGATACTTCGAGATCAACGAAGATAGTAAAGAATGTGAGGCGCTTCAAGCGTGAAAAAGTGAACGAAGGTGAAGTGAGCGAATGTCGACTGACTGAATGACTGTTGTGGTGAGGAATCCCTACATGCTGGGCGAGAGGTACTCTTATACTCAGATACTGCCATGTCGGAAATGGCGCATCGCTGTGCATGTGTCAGATGAAAGGAGTGGAGCTGACAGAAAGGGAACCGTTTCCGTCGTACAATGCTTCAGGGCTGTGGAGCTGGGGTGCTCGATGTTCGCAAGGTGGGCTTGTCACTTGTCATGGCGGTGCTTGTTTCATGGTGTGGCTTCTGATCCTGGCGGTAAACAGAGTATACTGAGCAGTCCTCGGCCAGGTGTTCCTGATCGACGCAAGGAACATGTCAAAGCGAAACGCAAGAGGGGTTGAACATTGAATAGACGCCAGATACAGCTAGCACGTCATTGCACCGGTGTTTGGATGCAGTAGCTGTACATCTCTGCGGCCGAATTCCCGAACGTACATGATGCTTTAACAGTAAGTCTTCATTCCTTGGTTATGATACCAGATGTTATGTGCTTGGTGATGGTGCGAAGAAGCTTGGGCGCCGAGAATCAACGACTCTTCCCGCCCGCTGCACACTAGAACCATCTCGACTCGCTTAGACTCAGCGCCTCATAAACGACATCTACGCGTCACCAAATCTCCCACCATCCAGCGGCATAAACGCAACCACGGCAAACCGGCAGACCGCGCTCTACTCCTCACATTCATTAATCTGCAGCAAACCTAGGTATACAGCCGTAGGTCCGATCGTAGCCTCAGCGCCTTTATCTCCGTATGGTCGCTTCCGACTTTCATCGTTTCATACTATACCCCCCTGAAAGTGGGTCAACGACAGCGCGCGCCTCCACTACTGTACGCATGACAGTTCCAGGCGCTTGGTACCAACGTCTTGATTCATACGAACTACGGTGTGCACTCTGTATTTGCTCTTTCGATCGAGACCAGGTACTGAGACTGGAACACTCCACTGAACCCTCCCACACACCCTTGGCAAATTACACTGCATCGTAACAAACTTCGCGACATGTTCCTGCCTCCATTGGTGGTGCCTGAACGTCAGTACCTGTTTCTGCGCCTCAATCAATGCCGCCCGGAGAAACTCCACTGGTGTTTTATGTTGTCCGGGTGGGTCTCTGCTCTCTATGCGTTTCAATGTCGCTTCCATGCCACACGGGCCTTCATTTCGGGCCAAGAAACTTTAGCAGCCGGCAACCGAAAACAAGCAACGGCTAAAGCGACGGTACAGCTGGCCAAGGCTCGCTTCCTACCGGAGACCCGGTGTTCATCTGTCAAGGTGTGAAGGGTGTAACACGCCTATGCACAGCGTTTACTAAACATCATTTTTGCACACATCGAGATCCAAGAATCATACCGCTGAACAGATGAAAGTTATCATTGTACTACCGCCGCACGACAATGCTGCATTGAAAAGGAAACTGGCAGCCCATGCCATGGCCCTATTAAAAACGCCGAAAGTCACCCTCTAGTCATACATGTCGTTACAATACACTAGTTCCACCGAACGCCCCATAAACCGTTCACATGCCGTTAAGACGAGTAGCGCCATGTCTCAGCTCCATGGACATTCGTCGTAGCCTGCAGCGGCGGCAGCACTGGCTTCTGATCCCTTGGTACAGCTACAAGACCGCCTTTGCCGTCATCACTAATGGGGCTAGGTGTTGGTCGTTGTGGCTCGCGTGGTGGCGGTCCTGGTGGGGTTTGAATTTGCGAAGCTTGCATGCTCCTAGGTAGGTCGTACGATAGACTGGAGCGGGGCCCTGAGGGAGGGTAGCGAGGCTGAGGCGCCTGTGGCGAGTGCGCAGTCATAGATGGCGTCCCTGTGGGGCCTGTCGATGTAGCGAGCTGCTTAAGCATCTGTTCCCACTTTGGCGCCTCGGGAGTCTGCGTCGTCCTTGCCATTTCCCGTTGGAAAGCATCCGAAGACTGGAACTGTGCGGATGGCCTTGGTGCAGGTAGGCCCGTTGGTGGCGGTGGTCCGTAGTATCCGGGAGAATGCGCGGCTCCGTGTGACGCGATAGGCCTTGGTGCGATGGAAGTAGGTGTACCACTGGTTCTCGACGTAGCCTGCTTTGGCATCCATTCGGGTGCAATTCCACCATCCAGACTATAGGGTGATATGTAAGTTTTTGTCCTCCGCAAATAACAATTTCTGAGGTAGGGATAATTCATGACGTAGGATAAATACTCAGTGGGGGATTGTGCAGCATAGATGATTTCAGAGGAGGGTGTGACGGCGTACATTGGAGGTTTGGGAGTCCCAGTAGGGTTGCTCAGCATGTTTGAGATCGACGCGCGACCGTGTGGTGATGCCTGGCTTTGATGGCTTGGTGGGCCATAAGGTGAAGTAGCAATCTGTCCCGCGCCTGGTGAGTATGGTGAGGGTGGCAACTGACGAGGACTCTGAGAGTATGGGTATGGCGGTAGAGCACTATGCTGTGCCGGTTGCGCATACTTGTCAATTCCGTTGAGCAGTGCCGACTGTGTTTTCCAGGACGCATTAGAGTAGCTCTGTGGCGGCACATATGGCTGATACTGCTGTTGCTGCTGCGAAGGGTGCGGTGACCGATGCGTGTGATAGCCTTGGTATGGCTGCTGCCCTTGTTGTCCTGTGGGTAAGCGATGATCATAGCTGACATTGGGTTGATGTGCTACGGGCGAATTGGGATTCTTGCGAGTATCAGGGTTGTAAACCGGCGACCTGTAAGACGACATCGACAACTCCTTCGGCTTGTAATTGTACGGCCGACCATCTGGTGTTTGATATTGCATCGGTGTGCGCGGAGGTACTGCGATGGGTGCCGGCTTGATGGGATAAGAGGCTGGGTACGAAGTACGATGGAAAGTTGGTACTGGCGGGGGAGGAGGCTTGACGGTTTCAAGGAAGTTGCTCTTGGGGTTGTTCCTAGGCTTTGCAGGGTCCTCAGTGTACTGTGGCCTAGCCTCGGTTGAAGGCTTTCCAAGGTAGTACCAAAGCCGGTCCTCCTTGCTGAGATCGACTCTAGCCACTCTCCGAGTAACCTCAGGAGCAGTATACCATTCAGCCCACTTGTGCTCGGAGTTGGGGTCGTGGAAAGGATCGCCCATCTCAGGCACACCGTCGGTGCGGTTCGTGATGTCAAGGGATGCGTCGCTCTCCTTAAGATGCTCTGGAAGTGGCTTGGCATTTGCGGATGGCTTTAGTCGCTGCGATTCGTCTGGATGAAGCTTGAGTATGTACTTCCACTCAACTTCGACTCGATCACCGTCAGGCAATACATCTACCAGGACAGCCTGCTCGCCAGGTCTGTTTTCTACGACCTGTGCGCCGTAGATCTGGTACATTTCGCCACCCACGTACTGGAACTGGATGACATCCTTGGGTTTGAGAGTCTTGCCATAGGCCAAGACAAACTTGTCCTTTTCCAGTG